TAACATATTATATATATATTTGCAGGGTTTTTTAAAAATTTTATTTTAAAGAGAAAAAACAAAAATCCCCACAAAGTCAAAAACAAAACAACAAAAAACAATAAAAATGATACAGAATTTCAAAACAAGATGATAGGAAATTAACATTGCTATATTACATATTGTTATCTACAAAGTAGTTGCTCAGATCACCAGACATAGTCATGGAAGATCGATAAAACAATTAAGCACCAACTGTTCCTTTCAACAAACCAATAATGCAGGATTTTTCTTTGTTTTCTGAGACACGCTCTTGCTACATAAACTGGAACACACAGCAATCCTCAGCCTCCCGAGGTTTTTTTTTTGTTTTTGTTTTAAACCAGGTGTGGTGCTTTACGCCTGTAACTTCAGCACTTGGGAGGCTGAGGCAGGAGGATCACAGCAAGTCTGAGGCCAGCCTGGGCGACAAAGTGAGTCCAAGGTCAGCCTGAACTGCGTAGTGAGACCCTGTCTCAAAAAGGAAAAAAAAGGACGGGGGTATAGCTCAGTGGCACAAGTGCCTGCCCAGGAAGTGCAAGGTCCTGGTACCAAAAAACAAAACAAAACAAAACAAAGGAAAACAAAGGAAAAACAAAACAAAAAAAGAGAGAAAGTTTTATTATGGTGGTCAGGCTGGCCTCAAACTTGCAGTAATAGCCTGGTGTGGGGACACACGCCTGTAATCCCAGCACTCAGGAGGCTGAGCAGGAGAATCGTTGCGAGTTCGAGACCAGCCTGGGCTACAAAGTGAGCTCAAGGCCAGCCTGAACTGCATAGCAAGACCCTGTCTCAAAAAGACCAAAAAAAAAACAAAAAAACCCCCACAAACCTGCAGTAATCCTTCCTGCCTCGGCCTCCCAAGCGCTGGGTGTACAGCCTTCCTGCTTCAGCCTCATTAGTGCTCAGGATTAACCATGAAATTCAAGTTTGAACATGACTGCAGACTGGGAATCCGAAGGCCGCGAAAATGGTAGTTACCAGGCCTGCACATTTTCAGGCTACAAGTCACGTCGGCCGCCAGCCACCAGCCACCAGCAGAAGAGTTCTGCTGCTGATGGAATTCTGGCTCATCCAGAAAGCAAGAAGGAATCTAGACCTGATAACCAAAGCACAGATGAATCACAGACTGCTGGGAAATGAAGTTCAGTCTCTAGCATTCCTAAAACCAAACAGAGGAAGAGCAGGACTGCAACAGGCTCACTAGCAGAGATAACTGAACCTTCTACTGATGGAGAGCTCTCCGCAACAGAGTCAATTGTTCTTCAGTGTCTGAGATCCAGGAGCCTATTCTAAGAATAACTAGGAGAAGGCAGATCGTAACTGCCCCCACACTAGTGTCCACGGTAAGAAAAAAGCAGAAGATAACTCGACTGAATGACTCTGTTGCTGAAGAGATTGTCTCTGAAGCAGAATCTCATGCTTCGGGTATTTCTAGGATTGCGCCTTCCCCAGAAATGACAAGAACCAGAAGTAAGGCTAAGTCTGTAAGAGATCAAAGCCAAGGATCACGCCCAGAAGCTGTATCTGATGCTGACTCATTGTGCTCTGACATTTCATTCCCTGGAATTACACATAAGAGAACAGCCAGGAGTATGCCAAGGAAATTACAGGCACAAGCTGATAATAAATATGCTAGTTTGTACCGGAAAACAAAAAGGGAATCATGGATATTTCTATGCAGTCAGAGGATTCATATCCCAGACAGAGTTTGGATGAAGAAAAAAACAGAGTAATAGGTGAGAGAAAGGAAAATGATAAAAGTTCTCAGTTGAAACGTCTTTCTAAACTTCAGGACCCTGGCCTCCAGCAGTTAGTCTGTCAAAAGCATTCAACCCCTCAAAATAATAAAGCCACATCGGAGTCCTCAGATCTAAACTGTGAGGCTGTCACGTGATACCAGACTAAACAAACCTGCGCTCACCCAGTCTCAGGACATAGATGATTCTGTCTTACTAGCTCTCCACGGTGATGAAAGCCAGCAGTCTGAAGGCAGTGAAAGTGAAGAGGACGCTGTGTTTTGTTGAAAATAGTGATCAAGAGGAATCACTGCATGGAAACTCAGAAAACATGTCTCAGGACGATGAATGCTTTGTAATTGACACTGCTCCTGAGTTGAATGCTGATACAAATTTTTACTTGGAGGATAAGGCAAGGGAGGTGACCACTGAGGAAGAAAAAGAAGGGAAAGAGGGTGAAGACAGTGAAGAAGAACCATCAGACAGTGACAGAGATAAAGACGAGTATAGTGATGAAGCTGACTTACTAAATAACACAAAGTCTAAACTTAGGAAGTTGATGAGTAATAGTATAGACCCTGGTCTGAGCATCAAGGTATTGGGTGGTGTGTATATTAACTTCAATGCAGAGAAACTTCAGTCTAAAAAGAAAACTCTAACATAGATCAAGGAGAAAAAGAAAAACTAGCTTCCACAGAAAGCTGTTATTACACCTGTTTTGAAAAAAAAAGATTGTGTCCCACCATATGGTGAATCAAAGCATCAGCGTCAGAAAAAACGTAGGAAAGAGCGACAAGAAACTGCAGGTGAATGCTGGGCGTGGTGGCACAAACCTGCAATCTCAGCACTCGGGAGGCTGAGGCAGGAGGGTCTTTGCAAGTTCAAGACCAGCGTGGGCTACAAAGTGAGCTCAAGGCCAGCCTAGACTGCATAGATTGACCCTGTCTTAAACAGACAAAAAAAACCCCAAAAACTGCAGGTGATGATTGGTTTGATATGAAAGCTCTAGAATTGACCATTGAACTTAAAAATGATCTCAGAGCTCTGAAGATGAGAGCAAGCATGGACCCAAAAAGGTTTTACAAGAAAAATGACTGAGAAGGCTTCCCTAAGCTCTTCCAGATTGGAACTATTGCTGACAATCCAGCTGATTTCTACCATTCATGGATTCTCAAGAAGCAAAGGAAAAGGACTGTTTTGAAAGAAGTGCTGGCTGATTCTGAGTTCAGAAGATACAACCGAGAGAAGTACTTGGAGGTCATGTCTGAAAAAGCAGCACATGCAGCAGGAAAAAAATTCAGAAAGAAGAAATTTTGCAATTAATATTCACCAAGCATATCCTAGTATTTTACATCTTCCCTTTATTCATTTGTCAAAGATGTGTTTTTTGCCTTTTTGAGACAGGGTCTCACAAGCAGTTCAGATTGCCCTTGAGCTCACTTTGTAGGCCAGGCTGGTCTCGAACTCGCAACCATCTCTCTGCCTGAGCCTCCTGAGTGCTGGGATGATAGACGTGCACCACCACGCCTGGCCTGTAAAAGATGCTCTAAAGACTAATACCATCAGACAGTTTAATAGAAACTGGCTCTGTTTATCCAGGGATTTCTGAAAATAAAGTTGACTGACAGGGAGTCAATCAGATGGCCCTTGGAATAAAAATAAGTATTCTACAAAAAACCCGTTCTCGCTTAGACTTTAAGGAGGAAAAGAACTTCAACCATTTTAAGATAAGTAACATTTTTTCAGGTTTTCAGGGCTTGGTTATTTAAGGGAAATTTAATTAAAAGATGTAGCATCTGCTAATACGTTCAAAGAACTTACTGTGTGGTTTTATGTATACGTGTATATGTACAGAAGAGTCGGTAGAGAGGCAGTGCCCTCTAATTAGCTGCAAATTTAGATCCGGAGAGTTGGTGAAGATGGGACACAGAGATCTTGTTTCCAGTTTACAAGTCACAATCTAAAAGGAAAGAATGCTTGGAGCAAATGCATGTTAGCAGAAAACCAAAGAACTAAGTGAAGTTAGAAAGAAGCCATAAAAGATAAATTTCCCAAGCAAGTTTGGGATATAGGTGGAAGATGTGTACGAAAGCTGTTTTCTTAGCACCAGAAAAAGGGATAATTGATCTTACCTGCATTTATTGTTGTGTTTCAAGCAAAACAGGATTGAAAAATAGCATTTTAATTTGGCCAGAAGGTAAGGTGTCCCGTTTTCTTTCCTCTCCAGTGGCCCAATACGCATTCTGGCTAAGCTGTTTTCTGCCACCAAGGACAGTTGGTCATTTCTGTTGCTTCTTGGTGAGTTGCAGCCTCCTTTATATCATTGTCTACTGTACTTTTATTTTCCTAGCATACTATTTTGGATTTCAGTAAATGTAAAATCTCATATTTTACTGTTTAGGGTCACAAGCAACTCTGTAAACAATAGAGATGACAGTAACTTTCACTGGTGAAGTTAGGGAGGCATTTATATTTTTTTTTATTGAAAAACGACTTTTATTTTAAAAATATGTTTTGCCTTCTGTGTAATACAGAATCTCATATGACAGAATTCAGTATTGAAACAGGAGGAAGAAATAACTTTCTTTTTGTAAGCCACTTGTTAGGGCTTGGACCTTCAATGACCCCAAATTCTCATACTAAGCAAAATCTTGGTTTGTAGCCTGTGGTGTTACTGGGCAGCAGAGGAACCAATAGGAAGAGAGGAAGCTCAGCCCTTGGTCGTGTGCCCTCGGAGGAGGTATTTGGGGCCCTGGCCCTTTTCCTGTATCTTGGCCCCCAGGATGTTCTGCCTTTCCAGAGTCCCAACATGACAGGGCTGAGCAATCCAGGAGGACTGAAACCATGAGCGAAAATAAACGTTCCTCTTTAAATGGACTATTTTGTCACAGATGGAAAACTGACCAGCGTACCATTTAACTTGCAATAAAGCAGACAGGCTTTAACAAATGTGAAATGCTTACCTTATTCAAGTGTCAAATAGAAATTATTCAGCTAAAAATTCACCTATTAACAACTAAAAAAAGAAAATGATTACACACTATTTTAATTTTTGAAAATTTGAAGATAATAAAACCATGGTGGCACAAACCTATAATCACAGCACTCGGGAGGCTGAGGCAGAAGCACCATGAGTTCAAGGCCAGCCTGGGAGTAGGGAGTTTAAGGCCAGCCTAAACCACCTAGTGAGACCCTGTCTCAAAAAAAAAAAAACCAAAAAATTAAACAAAAAATGAAAGCATACTGAAACAACTCATCATTTACAAAATTACCACTGATGCGTTAAAACACAGGGCTAAGAAACTGATTAAATTAGAAGAATATGTATCAAAAGTAATTGCTCTATTTCTGTTATTTTTAAATACTCAGATCATCAATAGTAATAGCATAATTGATTTTAATGTACGCAAACATTATTTTCAGTTTTAAACTAAGATTTTTACAATTGGTTTTTGCAATATATTTTACTGCAGTATAACAAATGAATTTTTGTCCAAAATAAATATTTCCAAAATGATATAATTATGTTTTTTTCTCTTTTTGAGGCAGAGTCTCACTATGCAGTTGAGGCTGGCTTTGAGCTCACTTTGTAGCCCAGGCTGGTCTCCAACTCGAGATGATCCTCCTGCCTCAGCCTCCCGATGTTGGGATTACAGGCGTGCACCACCACGCCCGGCTATAATTATGTTTTAAAGCCATTTGTACTCAAAGTGTTTTAATGTGGAAAAGAATTTGCATGGTCACAGCAGCCACAGCGTATGGAATATATTAGCTTTGGCAGCAGAGCACCTGGACTTCAATCCCAGTTCTGACACATAGGAGCTTTGTGACTTTAAGTAAAGCTATTCTCTCTCTCTCATATTGCTTCCTCATCTTTAAAATGGGCATAATAACTGAATTCTCTAGTTCTGTTTTGTTTTTGTTTTCTTGAGAGAGGGCCTTACTATGTTGTTCAGGCTGGCTTTGAATTTACAACAATCCTCCTGCCTCAGCCTCCCTAGTGGTGAGATCATAGAGCACACTCGGCTGCTAATTGGTTTGTTTTGAGGATAAAATGAGATAACATGTATAAGGCATTTAGCACCGTGCCTTGGCATGTAGAACTCTCAATAAACAGGTATTGTCATCACTGTTGCTGTTGCTATTGAAAGGCTATAAGCATGACTGTCATCAGGTTGCCTCATTATTAGTGACTTCTTGTCCTAACACTAGCAGATTGGCTGCCTCCCCTTGTTTATCTGTTGGTTTGGGGGGTTTTGTTTTGTTTCGTTTGTTTGCTTTTCTTCTTAGTGGTGGGGACTGAACTGAGGGCCTCCTACACGCTAGGCAACTGCTCTGCCACTGCGCTACATTCCCTACCCTTTGTAAAAATAATCTTTTAAATTTGGAGACAGGATCTTGCTAAGTGGCCCAGGTTGGCCTCCAGCTTGTGATCCTCCTGCCTCAGCCTCTCGAGCAGTTGGAATTACAGGCCTGTGCCACCACCTGGTTTCTCACCTCGTCTCTATTTAGCAAAGGAATCCAATGATCCTGAAGAGTTGCCGAAATAAACTGTGACCTAGACCAACACTCTCAGGAACACTCGCCTCAGAGCACTGCAAGAATATTACAGTAGTGCAGACACTGCAAGGTGCTGTGGCAGCAAAAGCTTCTGCTGCCACTTAATGCTGAGAAGCTAGGGCCTTGCCTTGAAAAATTCAGAATACTTAGCACCACTGCAAAATCTCCAAGTCCTACAATAACCACTTTTATTTTGTTTAATCACGTTTTCCAATTTATTTGATAATGTAGCCTCTTTTCCTCCACCGCCTCCTTCTCTCTCTCCCCTCTCCCCCTTTCTCTCTCTCTCCTATGTATGTATCTATGTACCTATGTGACACCTCAACGCTAATGGAATATTCCTTTTTTGGGGGGGTTCTTTTTGAGACAGAGTCTCGCTATGCAGTTCAGGCTGGCCTTGAGCTCACTTTGCAGCCCAGGCTGGTCTCGAACTCGCAACAGTCCTCCTGCTTCAGCCTGCAGATTGCTGGGATTACAGGGGTGCGCCACCACACCCGGGTAAGAACGTTTTATAACAGCCGGAAATTTTGTATCCCAAAGCCTACAGTTTTTACAGCCTCCACCCTCTCTGGGTTTCTGCTCATAGGCCTTAGGCAAGGCTCAAAACTACACAAATGGAACATGAGCTCCTGAGCTGACACGAGATGACCGCAAGAGGGCGCTCGTTTCCATACGGTATCAGTTTGGATTCCCCTGTGCAGGAAGACCGAATCAGCAAGCTACAAGGCTTGCTGGAGGAGAGATAAAACACCTGGTCTGGAGGCGTGATAATGTTCGAGATATTAAAGCCATGGGTGACGGATGAGAAAAGAAATGGAAGTCAAATAAGATTATATAGATACACAAAACGTCTGTTTCATAATCAACAAAACTAAGATTAAAAGAAGCAATGTAATGTGAAAAGTTTCTAATACATAGGAATAAAAAGTCATCTTGAAATATATAATGGGTTACATAGTGTGTAGTTCATTATATATTATAATTAATTATATACATACATATACCCTGCACAAAACTATGAAACCACCAAGTCTCAAAAAACCAAAATGTCATGTTGCTATTACACAAAATAATATAGAAATGATAATTACTGGTGTTTATTTTTATTGCCGTTTATTGAGGACATGCTATGCATGAGATATCTTATGTCCACTATGTAACAGTTAAGCCTATGAGGTAGGTATTATTAGAAATAATAATCATTTTACCCATTAGGAAGTTGTTTCACTATGCAGTTCAGGCTGGCCTTCAACTCACTTTGTAGCCCAGGCTGGCCTCGAATTTGCAGTGATCCTCCTGCCTCAGTTTCGTGAGTGGTGCTGGGATTACAGGCTTGCACCACCTTGCTCAGCACTTCCTTTCATTTCTTCTTTTTATTTTCAGTACTGAAGATAGAACCCAGGGGCACTCTACCACTGAGCTACATCTCCAGCCCTTTCTTTCTCTCTTTCTCCCTTCCTTCTCTCCTTTGTTTTCTTTCATTTTGAGACAGGGTCTCAGTAAGTGGCCCAGGCTGGCCTTGAACTTGCAGCTCTCCTGTCCCAGACTCCCCAGTAGCTGGGATTACAAGTATGCGCACCACGCCCAGCTTCTCCAGCTCTCTTTATCACTCAGTTCCCTGAACAGGCTGGGCTTCCTGCACAGAACCTTCTTCTCTCCATTTTTTGGAGACAGGGTCTCGCTATGTAGCCCAGGTTGGCCTCAAACTCATGCAGACTCTCCTATGTCAGCCTCTCCAGTGCTGAGATTACAGGCGTGCGCCA